CCAATAAAATGTTATCAAATATAATTTCGCTCCAAGTATTATTACGCACGAATTATGTCAAGTACGTACGGCCCGATTCAAAATACATATACATATACTGTGTGCACTGCCGAGGATCAAACGACATGAACCATAGATGCATCTATTTACCTGTCGAGGCAAACGACCCGCTCCCATGAGAGTAGTGTAAGTTACCTCGCTCGCGGAAAATACTTGAAATCCTCAATCTTAGCTCTTTTCAAGGCAATTAATAAGCATAATCAAATAACGGTGTCAACAAGACATGGTATAAACCTAAGACTACCTGGACATCACATGAAATTAGCTAAGCACGAACTCTCATCACCTAGTGCGTACGTAGATCCCCACACAAGTAATTTACAACAATACACACCTAAGGGGATGAGTTCCCTCTTACAAGGTTAGAAAAGTACTCACCTCGTTCTCAGGTTCATTTTCGATCCACAAATATGCTTTAAACCCTTAACTCGGTTCCAAATGACTTGAAACCAGTCAAATTTTATATAAAATAGTCAATACATGCTCAAAAGTTTGTATTTTAACTATTAAAGTGATTACCCAATCCCAATTGAAGAATTCCTAAAACTCATCCCCGAGATCACGTACCCGGATTCCAGAAATGTTCGAAGTAAGTTGTTACTCATAACCTCACGAACTTAAATATATGATTTTCACTCAATTTCACAACTATTTTCGTGGTTAAATCTCGCTTTTATCAAAACCCTAGGTTTTCCTCAAAATCCCATAAATTCCACCATTTACCTTGTTAAATCTACTTATGATTCGTGTATTTAGCTAAACAATTGATAGGGATCATTTACATCTTGATGTTGATTGAACCCCTCCCAAAAGTGCTCTTAAAATCGTCTAAGACCATGTGAGAAATGAGAGAAAAAAAGTTATGTCCCGCAATAAAAGTTGTTGCGCAGGTCGCAGGTGTCGCATTTGTCCCGCAACAAAATCGGTTATGTCCCGCAACAAAACAATTGCAAGTACGAAGGTTGGTTGTCATGCCCCAAACTCGGGGAGCGCGACCGGCGCTCAACCGAGTGAACTCGGCCGAGAAAGCCTGTTAGGTTTCCTTCTACCCAAACTAATTCATGAATAAAAAAGAGATGTACTCCTTTAACCAAACTCTGAAAATATTTAATTAACAACTTCCATTTCATTCCCATTAACAGCATTGAAATATATTTCCAAAATAGTATAAGTTTATAGATGTAAAGAAAAACGTGTTTGCCAAATACTAACATTTCTAATTCAATTCCCAACATCAAATACGACCCACAACCTGTCTACGAAGCCTCTAAGCACAACTGACGAGTAATATGAAAATGCCGATAATAAGACCTCGGCTATATCTCAAAACAAAGTACATGATAAACAAAATATACATGTCCCCAAAACGAAGTGGAGTTCACCATGTCAGCTGAAGAGAGTGTACCACTATCACTGATTAATACCGTCTGTTGTAGAACCACCTGCATCCATTAAAGATGCAGCGCCCCCAGCAAAAGGGACGTTACTACCATCTAATAACACTAGTACGTAAAGTTAAAAGTCCTCTTTCAAAATAGAATGTCCATATAAGAAAAGGCAACACATAGAAACAATAAGTCACAATCAACAATATTCAAATGCCCAATTGAAACATAATAAGTTTTAAAATACGAAAATAATATATAGTTTTGGTTGGGAGATCATTAGTATTGATATACCACCGTCTTTGTTAGCACGGAGTCCGATCACGCCTGATCGGCTATGCTATCTCTCCACGAATAATGTGGTTTGACATGTGAATTGTTACCAAGAGTAGTACCACCATGTGCGCAACATGGTGTCTGATCTCCACCCGATCAGCTAGGTCGCCTTCCCACATATGCCGTGTGGGTTGACTTTTCCAATTCACAGCTATTACCAATTTCATCCCATTTAAGGGAAATAATCACAATCCACCCCTACAGCGGCACATGTAGTTTCAGGTGTGGGTCTTTGATGTGCCGTAGAATTTCGGCACAATGGATACAAATTACTTAGATTTTAACTCGTCTTTTAATGCATTTTTAGTTAATTTTTATCAAGTTTGGTTGTTTTGTATTGCATGAGCTTGAAGATCCAAAAACATGGAAAATAAGTCAAATGGTCGCAAAAGAATGGAAATGCGGCAAATATGAGGTCGCATAATTTACATGCGGACCGCATAATTTAGACTGTGATCGCAAACAAAGACAGACTTATTATCCAACTGAAGAAGAGAATATGCGGTCCATTATGCGGTGGCATAACACTTGTGCAAGCCGCATAATGGTCGCATAATTCCAGTAGAAGAAATTTCTCACCATGATTTGCGATGGCATATGCGATCGCATAACACACATCCGGACCACATAATCTGTATGCGACTGAAGCTGGAACTGGGAAATTATCAAGTCTGCGATGGAATGAAGAATATGCGGACCGCATACGTGGTCTGCGACCATTATGCGGTCGCATAAGCTGTCTGAAGGGGCATTTTTGTCCAATTTTGGCCACGACTTTTGGTCCACTATAAAAAGAATAACTACGATTTTTATGTGTCATTCAATTCTGAAATAAGGTCCTACATAGAGAACATTGAATACTCCATTTATTTGGAAGGTTGTGAAGAAGGAATCTTGCACTTTTGTAAGCTTTATGGCTTTATTAAATACTTTGTTCTTGTATTTTAGCATGAGTAGCTAGTTTTAAATACTAAGGTTGTGGACCCTAGATGGATGTAATGTTAATGAGTGTTTAACATTGAATATATATATAATGGTTGGTTGATATTTATTCAGTTCTTGTTCTTTATTTATGGCTAGTGGTTGCAAACATTAATCTACTCCATTTTACTCTTTCTTTACTTAGAAAAGTGGGTTAAGGTTTTGTAGAATTGAATATCAAGAACTCAAGACATTAAATCTTGTTTAATAGAATCACTTAGGAATAAGTGGGTTCTACTTGGCATAAATTGATTATTCTTAAATTGCAACTCTTTTATATTTGGGAAAATCATAAAGGGAAAATACTACCCAACCATTGGAAAATATTGGGTAGTCATTTAAAAATCATTTGCACATCAAAGGACCTTCCATTAGAAATATATCATATTAACACCAACAGAATTACATTCCATTGACGGGGATACAACTTTGGTTTCCTTAATCAAATCGTTTACATACTCATAACACAATTAGTTATTTGTTTAATTCATAACTATATCATTATCTTGTTACGTTAAAGGAATAGAATTACGACCTAAGTCAAGTAACACACTACTCGAGTAACCTTTTCACGCCTATTCCCTGTGGGATTCGACCCCAACCTTGTTGGATTACTATATTTGACACTGACCGCCTTACACTGTTTAATTAAAGTGTAATTTGAGTGTATCAAATTTTGGCGTCGTTGCCGGGGAATACTATTTTGAAATTACTAATTAGTGTGTTTTACTTTCCGTCTTCTTCTATTCCATCACACTTTCCTTGTTTTTCTTGGTGTTGATAGGAAAACATGGCCGAATTTGAGGACGAAGAAAATCCTTTTGTGGACATAGATGAGTACATTGAGGATACAAATGCTATTGTACCCCCGAGAGTTGACGCTGCCACTTTCAAGGTGGAACATAGGTTAATCCTAATGCTCGAGCCGGAGGGGTTTTCAGGAAGTGCACTGATGACGATCCGACAGAACACCTCAGAAACTTCTTGGGTGTGTGTGCGATGCACAAACAGAACAACGTCTCAGATGATGCCCTAAGTTTGAGGGTGATCAAGTACTCAATGGCTGGAGAGGCAAGGAAATGGATTCAAAATCTACCTCTAAACTCAATCCATTCTTGGCCTGAACTTGTCCGAGCATTCTGAGCCAAATGGTTCCCACAAAGCAAGAAATCTGAGCTCCAGGATAAGATTTTCTTTTTCAAGCAACTATCGGGAGAACATCTACATGAGGCATGGGATCGATTCAAGTTATATTTGGTGAGGTCGCCTAATCATGGTTTTCCAAATTCTATTTTGTTGGAGAAATTATACATGGGTTTGGATGCTATGAACCAATCTATAGACAAGAATGCAACTGATGGATCTTTTATGGATAAGACCTTTGCAAGGATCAGACAAATCCTTGATAAAATGGCAAAACATAACCAGGCTTGGCACTCAGAGGACACCATAGGTGGAGTTGCATACGGTACTCCCTCCTTGACCAACATGATTAAGTAGAACCAAGAAAGAGATCAAGTAATTGCAGGGCTTGCCACCAATGTAATTGTGTTGACAAAGATGTTCACTGAAAGCCAAACAAAAAAGGTAAGTCTTTTATATTTGGGAAAATCATAAAGGGAAAATACTACCCAACCATTGGAAAATATTGGGTAGTCATTTAGAAATCATTTGCACATCAAAGGACCTTCCATTAGAAATATATCATATTAATACCGGTAGAATTACATTCCATTGACGGGGATACAACCTTGGTTTCCTTAATCAAATCGTTTACATTCTCATAACACAATTAGTTATCTGTTTAATTCATAACTATATCATTATCTTGTTACGTTAAAAGAATAGAATTACGACCTAAGTCAAGTAACACACTACTCGAGTAACCTTTTCACGCCTATTCCCTGTGGGATTCGACCCCAACCTTGTTGGGTTACTATATTTGACACTGACCGCCTTACACTGTTTAATTAAAGTGTAATTTGAGTGTATCAAATTTTGGCGCCGTTGCCGTGGAATACGGTTTTGAAATTACTAATTAGTGTGCTTTACTTTCCGTCTTCTTCTATTCCATCACACTTTCCTTGTTTTTCTTGGTGTTGATAGGAAAACATGGCCGAATTTAAGGACAAAGAAAATCTTTGTGCGGACATAGATGAGTACATTGAGGATACAAATGCTATTGTACTTTCGAGAGTTGACGCTGCCACTTTCAAGGTGGAACATAGGTTAATCCTAATGCCCAAGTCGGAGGGGTTTTTCAGGAAGTGCACTGATGACGATCCAACAGAACATCTCAGAAACTTCTTGGGTGTGTGTGCGATGCACAAGCAGAATAACGACTCAGATGATGCCCTAAGTTTGAGGGTGTTCAAGTACTCACTGGCTGGAGAGGCAAGGAAATGGATTCAAAATCTACCTCCAAACTCAATCCATTCTTGGCCTGAACTTGTCCGAGCATTCTTAGCCAAATGGTTCCCACAAAGCAAGAAATCTGAGCTCCGGGATAAAATTTTCTTTTTCAAGCAACTATCGGGAGAACATCTACATGAGGCATGGGATCGATTCAAGTTATATTTGGTGAGGTCGCCTAATCATGGTTTTCTGGATTCTATTTTGTTGAAGAAATTCTACATGGGTTTGGATGCTATGAACCAATCTATAGACAAGAATGCAGCTGATGGATCTTTTATGGATAAGACCTTTGCAAGGATCAGACAAATCCTTGATAAAATGGCAAAACATAACCAGGCTTGGCACTCAGAGGACACCACAGGTGGAATTGCATGCGGTACTCCCTCTTTGACCAACATGATTAAGTAGAACCAAGAAAGAGATCAAGTAATTGCAGGGTTTGCCACCAATGTCAATGTGTTGACAAAGATGCTCACTGAAAGCCAAACAAAAAAGGTAAATGTGGCAGAGGATGTTCAACCCACATCAAATGAAGATTATGAGGAAGAAAACTACGTCAACAACTCTCAAGAAGGCTATCAAAGGCAACAATACCAAGGTCAAGGACAACAAAATCAATAGAGGCCTAACCCGCAAGGGCAAGGCAACCAACAATGGCGAAATGACCAAGGTAGCTCTAATCAAGGAAATTGGAGTAACAACAACAACAACTTCTCAAATCGAAGTTCAAACCCTTATGTTCCACCAAAGGGGCAATATTCAAATCAAGGTTCCTCAAGTGATTCCAAGTTGGAAAACATGCTTGAACGGGTATTGCAAAATCAAGAAAGGTCCGACACTTCAATGAGGAATATGACTGAGCTTGTTGGTTCTTATACCGCATCCATTCAAATATTAGAGATACAAATGAGAGATCTCACGAGGGAACAAAATCCAAAGCAAAAGGGGACACTCCCAAGTGACACAATTGCGAACCCAAAGGGTAGTGGGAGTGGTCCAACTTCTCATTGCATAGCAATTACTACTCAGAGTGGGAAGGTACTTCAAGGAGAGAGTGAACAAGCGGTTGAAGTGGAAGAGTCCGAACAAGAGGTTGAGGCACAAGTTGAAGAGCCAATTGTTGTTGAAGTTAAAAAGGTCTCAGAAGAGTTGAAAGTTCAATAAGTGAACCGGGAAGAGGTTAAGGAAAAGGTAAAAGAGACGCCAAAAACTCTACCACCTATTCCTAGACCTCCTCCTCCTTTCCATCAAGACTTTCTAGGAGGGTTGATGATAGCAAACTTGAAAAGTTGTATGACATTCTCAAGTAATTATCGGTAAATATCCCATTTGTTGAAGCATTCCATGAGATGCTAGGTTTTGCTAAGTATTTGATCACCAAGAAGAAAACCACAAAGAATGAAGTGGTGAATGTGACTCACTGGGTTAGTTCTATTATTGCAACAACCACCATTCAAAAGAAAGAAGACCCGGGAGCTTTCACCATCCCATGCACTATTGGGGCGCCTGATTTTGCAAGAGCTCTTTATGATATTGGGGCTAGCATCAACTTAATGCCTCTTGCAACTTACAAGAAAGTGGGGTTAGGTATGCCGAGTCCTACAAGTATGAGGTTGCAAATGGCCGGTCGTTCCATAAAGAGACCGGTGGGAATTATTGATGATGTGCTTGTGAAAGGGGGAAGTTCCATTTACCCGCCGATTTTGTAATCCTTGATTGTGCAGTTGACAAAGAGATCCCTATCTTCTTGGGGAGACCATTTCTTGCTACCGGAAGAGCACTTATGGATTCAGAACAGAATGAGATCAAGTTCCGTGTGAATGACGAAGAGGTCACATTCCAATCAAGTAAGGTTATGAAGCTGCAACATGAATATGAAAGCATCTCAGTGATTGATGTTGTTGATGAGGTGGAAGACACAATTGAAATAAAGATGGAAGAACAATGCCTTGGTGAGGCGTTGGCGGTTATTTTGGTAAATTTTAATGGTGAAGATATGAAGGGTTACATGGAGTCAGTAAATGCATTGGAAGGGCTTGGGTCCTACACTTATGCTCCAAAGAAACTCTCTCTCGACTTAGAGAATAGAGTCACTACTCCCACCAAGCCTTCAATTATTGAGCTGCCGCAACTAGAGCTCAAACCACTTCCACCGCACTTGAGGTATAAATTTCTTGGCTCTAATGACACTCTACCGGTAATTGTTTCTTCTTTGTTGAATGATGTGCAGGTAGAACAATTGTTGAATGTCTTGAAGGAGCATATGCAAGCTATTGGGTGGACAATAGCAGACATCCGAGGGATTCCCTCCAGAATTTGCGAACACAAGATACAATTGGAGAATGAGAGTAAACCAAGTGTGGAGCATCAACGAAGGTTAAACCCTTCCATGCAGGAGGTGGTAAAGAAAGAAATCATCAAGTGGTTAGATGCTGGGGTAGTCTACCCCATTGCCGATAGTTCTTGGGTGAGTCTGGTGCAATGTGTATCGAAAAAATGAGGCATGTCCGTGATTGAAAACTACAAAAATGAGCTCATCCCAACAAGAACAGTGACCGGATGGATGGTTTGCATGGACTACCAGAAGCTCAACAGTGCTACGTGCAAGGATCATTTCCCTATGCCTTTTATTGATCAAATGCTTGATCGGCTAGCGGGGGGTCATTCTACTGCTTCCTGGATGGATATTCCGGCTAAAACAAAATAAATATTGCATTGGAAGATCAAGAAACAACAACATTCACTTGTCCATATGGGACATTTGCATTTAGTCGGATGCCATTTAGGCTATGCAACGCTCCGGCTACTTTCCAGAGGTGCATGATGTCAATCTTCTTAGACACGGTGGAAGATTTCTTAGAGGTGTTCATGGACGATTTTTCTGTCGTGGGTGACTCCTTTGAGCATTGCCTTGACAACCTTAGACAAATGCTCAAAAGATGTGAAGAAACAAACCTTATGCTAAATTGGGAGACACGCCACTTTATGGTGGATGGGGGAATTTTTTTGGGCCACAAAATTTCCAAACAAGGCACAGAGGTTGACCGGGCAAATCGAGAGTATTTCTAAGCTTCCTCCACCTACTTGAGTTAAAGGTTTCCGAAGCTTTTTGGGGCATGCCGGCTTTTATAGGCGCTTCATCAAGGAATTCTCCAAAATTGCAAATCCCATGTGCAAACTCCTTGAGAAAGATGCAAAGTTCGTGTTTGATGAGAGGTGCCTCAAGGCCTTTGAGGAATTGAAAGAAAAGCTCACCACTACACCTATTATTGTCACACCCGATTGGTCTCTTCCATTCGAACTCATGTGTGATGCAAGTGGTGTATCTATTGGGGCGGTTCTTGGCCAATGTCATAACAAGAGTCTTCACCCTGTCTACTATGCAAGCAAGACACTCAATGGCGCTCAGATGAATTACACTATGACCGAGCATGAACTTCTCGCCATTGTCTAAGCTTTTGAAAAAATTTGGGCTTATTTGTTGGGGTCCAAAGTGATAGTGTACACCGACCATGCTGCTCTTCACTATCTTATGGTGAAGAAGGATGCCAAACCAAGGTTGATTCGGTGGGTCCTTTTGTTGTAAGAGTTTTACTTTGAAGTCAAAGATCGAAAAGGAACAGAAAATCAAGTTGCGGATCACCTATCTAGGATTGAAGAGGTACGAAGACTAAAAGAGGACCTTGAAATCAATGATTTTTTTCCAGATGAACACATATTGGCATTGTCTAACACATTTGCTCCTTGGTATGCCGACATCGCTAACTTCTTGGTTAGTGACCTTGTTCCCGATGGATTGGAAGCTTATAAAAAAAAAGTTCTTGCGGGAGTGTAGGCATTACTATTGGGAGGAACCCTTCTTGTTTCGTATTTGTGCCAACAACATCATCAGACGGCGTGTTCCGGAAGATGAGGTAATGCCAATTCTCAAGGCATGCCATGATTCTCCGGTTGGGGGGTCATCATGGAGGAAATCGGACGGTAGCAAAAGTGCTTGAATGTGGCTACTATTGGCCATTGATCTACCAAGATGCCAATCAAATGGTCAAGGCATGCGACCAATGTCAAAGACAAGGGTCAATATCTAAAATACATGAGATGCCTATGAATTTTGTACTAGAGGTCGAGATTTTTGATATGTGGGGGATAGACTTTATGGGCCTTTTCGTGAGCTCTTATGGCATGACCTACATCTTGGTGGCTGTGGACTACATCTCTAAATGGGTCGAGGCAATCGCCTTACCTAACAATGAAGCAAGAAGTGTGACCGCATTTTTGAAAAAGAACATATTCACACGGTTTGGCACTCTAAGGGCCATCCTTAGTGATGGTGGGTCTCATTTCTGCAACAAGGCTTTCGTCGGGCTGCTCGAAAAGTATGGTGTAAAGCACAAGGTGGCCACAACCTATCATCCTCGGTTGAGTGGTTAGGTTGAGGTTTCGAACAGAGAAATCAAAAATATCCTAGCTAAAACTGTCAATGCAATAGGACCGACTGGTCAAGGAAGCTAGATGATGCGTTGTGGGCATATCGCACAGCATTTAAGACCCCCATTGGCACTTCACCATACGGGTTGGTTTTTGGCAAAGCATGTCACTTGCTAGTGGAGCTTGAACACAAAGCCATGTGGGTATTGAAGAAGTTGAATGCCTATGAGAGTGTAGCCATGTACAAAGAAAGAATGAAGTTTGTCCATGATAAGAAAATCTTAAAGTGGGAGTTCAATTCTGGTGACTTGGTCTCATTCTTCAATTCAAGAGTCAAGTTATTCCCGGGTAAACTCAAGTCCAAATGGTCTGGCCTGTTCAAAGTTGTGAGTGTGTCCCCATATGGTGCTATTGAACTGGAGTCGGAGAATGGGACTCGAACTTTCAAGGTGAATGGACAAGGTGTCAAGCATAACCTCGGTACTGCAGGAGAAAGGCATTTTATAGACCAATTTGCTCTAAGGGATAGTCCAACATCAGCCCCCACCAATGAATAATTCAAAAGGAGTCAACTGCGTCGTGCTGTGACGTTAAATCAAGCACTTCTTGGGAGAAAACCCATGTGTGGTAACACTCTTTTGTAGTTTATTATTATTATTATTATTATTATTATTATTTACGTACTACAGATTGAGAAAGTTGACATGTGTGCTAGAGTGCAGGTAGTCCCAAATATCATGCACATGGTCCTAGTGCTGAAGAAACTAATGGAAAGAAAGGTCCAGATTGGGCGACAACTATGCGGTTGGATAATGACTATGCGAACCGCATAGTCATCGCAGACTCAGACAGAGAAATGGGCTACATTGGTTGTCAACTATGCGGTAGGTATTTATGTTATGCGGCCCACATAACCACTGTGCGATTGCATTGTGCATCGCAAAGTGAAGTTACGATGCCCAGTCATAAGTCCGTCGCATAACACATATGCGATCACATATTGTGTTATGCGACGAACATAGGGGATGCATATCCGCTAGGTATAAACCCTAACTCACTCTATTCACACACTCATGTTTAAATAAAACAAATTAAAAGAACAAAAAAAACAAAAAGAGAAGAAGAGAACACAAAGAATCTGCTAAGGCAAAAAAGGGAAAGAATAAAAAACGAATCAATACTCACAAGGAACCCGTTGCTCACAAAGCATAGCGTGCTTTTGGTATGTTCTTTCTTCTCCATCTCGTCAATCTGATGCAATCTGTATTCCTGAGCTTTGATTTTTGGTCATTTCCCTGACCCCTTGGAATCCCTTTGTGATTGTGGTTGATTGTTGTTGATGAAACAAATGGGGGAAGTCTAAGTACCCCTATTCCCTCTTGTGTGTAGATTGACTGTGTGTGAGTCATTAGTTAGGGCTGTGACCAAAAAGGGGGAAGTCTGAGTACTCCTCTCTTGTTGAAATTGAACACATGGGTAGACTTCTAAATGGGTAGCAATAGGAACCCACGTGATTTGGGTAGGGTACAATTTCGTGAGGAAGATGACCTTTGCGGGCCGCATAATATCTTTGTGGTCCGCATAGTCATCGCATATGACCCCTAAATTGCCCTAAGGTAGAACGGGTTATGCAATTGCTTTTGTGATCGCAAACCCTTTATGCGGTCTGCATATGTGTCGCATAGTGAGGCAGACCTCCAGCCTTTCTAGCCTTACAAAATGCGATCTCTTTGCGA